AAACACCCAAAATCGAACAAAAACACCCAAAATCCCACTGAAACACCCAAAATCCCACTGAAACACCCAAAATCCCACTCTAACACCGGGGTTTGGGGTGAAACACTGGGATTTGGGGTCAGGGATACGGGACTGGGGAAAAGTGACCTTAAATTGGAGAAAAGTGACTCAAAATTGGGGAAAAGTGACCCAAAATTGGGGAAAATTACCTAAAATTTGAGAAAAGTGACCTTAAATTAGAGAAAAGCGATCCAAAACCGGAGAAAAGTGACCTTAAATTAGAGAAAAGCGATCCAAAACCGGAGAAAAGTGACCTTAAATTGGAGGAAGCGACCCCAAATTGGGGTAGAAGGAGGTGAAGTTACAGGACACGGAGGAAAAGTTACATTAAAGTGTTTTAAACATGTCAAAAATGGCATTAAAGGCGTCCAAAACGCTGTTAACAGCGACAAAAGTGGCGGTAGCGGGGCAGAAATAGCATTAGACGTGACAAAAATGGCATTAGAGGCAGTAAAAATGGCATTTAATGGGGCAAAAATGGCATTTAATGGGGCAAAAGTGGCATTAAATGGGGCAAAAATGGCATTTAATGGGGCAAAAGTGGCATTTAATGGGGCAAAAATGACATTTAATAGGTCCAGAATGGCATTAAGCGGGTCCAAAATGCCAATTAATGGGTCCAGAAAGGCATTGAAGGGGTCCAGAAAGGGATTCAGGGCAGCAAGAACGGCATAAAAGTGACCAAATGTGACATTAAAGTGTTTGAAATGGCTCAAAAATCGCATTAAAGTGTCCAAAATCCCCCCGAAACCGACTGAAATCGCCTCAAAACCTGTGTGGGACTCCTGTTTTCCTCAGTTTTCCCTCAAAAGGGCTCCAAATTTCCATTTCCCCCTCAATTTTCACCCCAGATTTCCCCCGAAAAGGGAATTCAGGATTTGGGATCCCTTTTTCCCCTCAGTTTTCCCTCAAAAAGACTCCGGGATTCCCTTTCCCCCTCAATTTCCCCCTCAGAAAAGCTCCAAGTTTCCATTTTCCCCTCAATTTTCCCCCGAAAAAAAGCGAATTCAGGATTTGGGATCCCCTTTTCTCCACAATTTCCCCCAAAACATGGGATTTAGGGTTCGGGGGGGGGGAAACCCCTTTTTTTTTTTTCCCCTCACGAAAAAGAGTCCCCAAATCCCTTTTTTTTTTCCCCCAAAATCCGGACCCGAGCGCTCTCACCTCAACCTCCCGCCGCTCGGGGGCGCCGTTTTCCCGCCACTTCCCCCTCAGAGCCTCGCGCACGCGCACTGCGGCCGGGCCGTACCACCCTGAGGGGAACGCGCGGGGGGAGCCACGCGAGGAGTAGGAACGGGCGAGTCCATTGCGAGCCGAGCCCGGGGAGGTGTCGGGGAGGCCCCGGGGCCGCTGGTTGGTGAGAGGGGGAATTTGGGGAGGGGGGTTTTGGGGCGAAATTGAGGGGTTTTGGGCGTAAAATGGAAGGGATTTGGGGAGGAAATTGAAAGGAAAAGGAGAGTCCGGACAGTGGGGTTGTGTTTGGGACACGGGGCGGGGGAGAAGGGCGGGCGGAGAGGTGGGAATGGAGGGGGATTCTGAGGGGAAAAGGGGTTCCGGAGCGGTTTTGGGGGGATTCTGAGGGGAAAAAAGGGTCTCGGAGCGGTTTTGGGGGGATTTTGAGGGGAAAAGGGGGTTCCGGAGCGGTTTTGGGGGGATTTTGAGGGGAAAAGGGGTTCCGGAGCGGTTTTGGGGGGATTCTGAGGGGAAAAAGAGGTCTCGGAGCGGTTTTGGGGAGATTCTGAGGGGAAAAGGGGTCTCGGAGCGATTTTGGGGGGACTTTGAGCTAAAAAAGGGGTCTCGGAGCAGTTTTGGGGGGATTCTGAGGGGAAAAGGGGTCTCGGAGCGATTTTGGGGGGATTTTGAGCTAAAAAAGGGGTTCCGGAGCGGTTTTGGGGGGATTTTGATCTAAAAAAGGGGTCTCGGAGCGATTTTGGGGGAATTTTGATCTAAAAAAGGGGTTCCGGACACTCAAATCCCCTTATAGGGGTGTCCCGGAGTTTCTATTTTGCTCCCGAGTTTCTATTTTGAGAGAACTCTGAGAGGAAAAAAAGGTTCCCGACGATTAAATCCTGTTTTTTTTTTGTGGGTCCTGGATCTTCTCGGTTTCTATTTTGGGAAAACTCTGAGGGGGAAAAGGGGTCCGGACACTTAAATTCTCTTTTCGGGGCTCCTGGAGCTTCTGAGTTTCGATTTTGGGGGGAATTCTGAGGGGAAAAAAGGGTCCAGGATATTTAAATCCAATTTTTTTGC